AGACTCGCAAACTCACAAATCAAAACAGTAGTGCAAGTCACAAGCAAAATAAAACTCTCTCTACTATGCTCATTTATATAGGCTTGGCGAAGAAACCCTGGAATTCTCGACATGATTCAAGACTTTGGCCAAAGACCTTGACCTCTTTGCTCGCCAAGTTCAAGACGATTGTCGCATAACCTCGTTAATATTGGTCCTATTGCTTTAAAACTCGAAGTTTCCAAAACTATCCTTTTGTCGCCTAAATGGTTGCCAAGTAGGCCAAAATGTCGCCAAACCGAGTCTTCTATAAGACGTACTTTAGGCGTTATTTTCTTCCTACGTTAGAACTACTCGACATTCTTGCAAATTTTCTAATTAAACTGTTTATTTAGAGTTCGTCTGAGATATTTAGCCTCATAAGAAAAGAATATTTACCAAATTATACATGTGTTTATAAATTCTTAATATTATGAATAACACTAATACAACAAATCTAAATTCTAGCATAACAAATGCGCAAGAAAATATTTCATAGCGTAGCAAAAATCTAAATTTATTTCTTACGCAGCTCTCACATAGAAGCTCTGCTAGAAGTTTAAGTTAACCTGAATAATAATACAATTTCGCTTAACGTTTGTCTTATGTTAATCGAACATCTTAGGGATATTGAGATTAGAGGGGAAATTTTTGCGCAAGTTTTGTGAAGTTTAAATGGCGTGTTAAGGGGACAGATACGCTTTTAAAAATCCTGCTTATAATAACTAGCAACTGTTGTATATTGATTATCGTACAGTATGCTTTAAAATTATGATTATTTTAAGACTCAAACTGAAGTTTAAGTCATTGTAATTCAAAATAGCGTCAAACTGGGGAAAGTTATCACAGAGACAAGCGAGCAATTGTGCATGCTATGCAGCTTTGCACGAATCTCTACAATTTTTGCCTGCCCACCTGTTTAAATTCTACCAACTGATAAGTTCAAATTGCTGTTGTATTTCACACGTCATATAAAGTACGCTGTAGTAATGTGAATAAAATGTGACTTTAAAAACAATTGTATGTAGCAAATATCCTATTCATTGCAAATATTCCCTTTATTGATATTCTGATTTATTTTCTTCACATTTTTGTATGAAGATTATTTAACAAAAATGCTTAATTATTAATAAAAATATGATATTAAAAAAAGCTTAATGTATATTAATTATATAAATTATAAAATTTACTCTTAATGTATACATGCATTTCTTGACATTGTTGAAGATTAATTATAAAGTTTTATATAATAAAACTTGTTCATTTACCTTGGAAATTTACTGTGGTCTCGGTATTTTGTATTTAAAAAAAATCGAAACAAGCGAAATAATTTTTAAAAAAATTCAATTGACATTCAACCTAATCTTATTTATTAGATAATTCAAGAGTTATTTTTTTATTAATGCATTCACGTGCGCTTGCTTCCTATTTTCACGGGATTGTCAAAAGGAATATTTTTAAAATATCTTCGAAATCTGCCACGATAACATAAACTACTCTAGCAAATTTGTTTTTCAGGTAGCTATTTTTTCATGCTTATAATATTTTTCTAAAAAATATGCGAACTGTGAACATAGATATATATTTATTTTTATTTTACTTTTATGTAGAGTTTAATTATTTTCATACAAAAACTCTATAAAAAAAACTTTTTTTATCGCATTGTTATCATTATTTTTAATTTTTCTTTCAAAATTACATAGAAGAGAATATAAACCTTAAGAAAATATAAACAACTTTCGATTAGCATTTACTTAGTTATTTTATTTTTCGCATTTTGTTTTAAATTAGAATTTATAATTTTTTCTATTGTCAATGAAATATCATTTTGAATTTGTATATTTTTAAGATTACTGCAGGTTTGAAACAGGATTGACATGTTTTTAATCACTTGATTCAAATAACGATTTAAATTACGATTGATTTAAATCAAAATAATTTTTTCATATAAAATTATAAATTTAAGTCAAAAATATTTTTTACTTGGATAATTCAGTTACATATTCTGAAAGTTGAGATTTTTGAGAAATCTGATTTTATTCATATTGAAAGTTTTATCCAGAAAATAATCAGAGAGGCAAAGGCATGTAAATTATTATTTTAACTAAAAAGTACAAGATCAAATTTAACTAAAAAGTACAAGAAAAAAAGCTAAATGTGGATTAAATTAAAGGAAAACAAAGTATTATTTTTCATTAGCGGAAATTTTATCCATTAAAAATAATTTGCCTATTTGTAAACAAATACTTTTAAGTCTTAATAAATATGCATTTGATGTATATAAATGATAATAAAAACTTCTTCCGGCAAGAAAAATTTTAATTTAGAATAGTTGCTTTTCATGTTTCCTAATTTAAATTAATTTATTCTTCATTTAATATCTAAATCCCAAATTGGATACTAAATCACAAATTGTAGCAATTACGCAAAACTTTGAACTATTTTCTTTCGAAATATTAGTACTATATAATATTGTTTCTAAATAACAATAAACATTATTAATAAATTTTATATTTCATTATAACTTTTATTGGTAAACGTAAATAATAGAACAAAAATCTGATATAAATTTAAAAGAAATAAGATTTTTTAAAAACATTTACATCTTCTTCGAGTAAATAAGTAGAAAAAAATCTGCTGAACACCTAAAAGGTATTTGAAACATGCTTTTTTTCAGATTTTCTAAATTTTTTTTCTGATGAAATTCTCAAGTTATTTAGAACTATTTTTTTCATCTTTCTTTAATGAATTGTTTAGATGAGTAATAATAATAATAACATTAAAGAGTGGTTCAAGTAACTTTTCGTTACTTTTTGAAATAATATCATATTAAAGCTACGAATAAATTTGTACCTCATAAAACAAAACTTCATAAAATAAATTGTTCCATTTTTCAAGATATAAAAACCTAAAGTGCACTTTCTTTCCACTTTTTTTACCAGTAAATGAGTAAGTAATAATGAAATTCTAATATGAACGAGAAGTTTAATATAAACTTTTCCGTTTTTATAAGGTATAAAATACATGAAAGGTACTTTCTTTTGCAAGAATTTTATCGTTCGGATTTGGTAATAATCTAAAATAGTAGTTGAAAAAGGGCAGACAATCGTTTCTTGTCACAACGTAAAAAATAGAACTCACGCCTTGTGGATATAAGGAAGTGCGTGACTTTCTTTAACAATGAACATATTAAAATGAGATGGAACATCCACGAAATTATTCATACATTCTTTTCTCCATATATGACAGCCGACTAAAAATGTCAACGACTTGTTTCAACTTGAAATGTATCACTTTTTCCTTTTCAAGAAAGTATTAAGGAGGAAAAGCATAATAATGGTGGAGCGTGTTATAGAAAGGTTTGGAGCATTCAATATCATGATTTAAAGAAAAGCTTAATACTTATGCGAAAGCACGGTGCAAGACTTTAAATCTGTTTTTTTTTCTCCAATAGTAATTTCGAAAAAGTGGGAAATTTGGTTTTCAAAAAATATAAAATGTTTTAGGTATTAAAAAGTTTAGCAATAATCTTGAATAGTACAAATAAATAAAAAGAAACGCATCTACAAAAGCAATGTAATGAATTCTGTAATAAACAAATTGTTTCAAAACAGGCGAGAATGTAGCTTCCAAAGCGCGTGTAAAAGCTAAAAAAAACTTTTCATTTTATGTTTCAAAAACGATTAAAAACAATGAATTTATTTCATTCACCATTAAAATGTAACGTTAAAAAAATATATGAAACATTAAACTGAGCAAAGGCAAGACAAAAGTAATATCTCCTCAATTAATGCTAATCAAATTTTACATTTCGCTTGCTAACCAAAATTAAGATTGTTGAACTAGCTGGAAAATATAGCTAACACTGTTAATCCTAGAATTGAAATGGGTTGATTTGGCTTTAGAACACTAGCTAACAACGAAAACTAAAGAATTCATTTTACACTCCAGGATTATCCTATGGTTTATTTATTTATTTTTTGATAAAAATAATCTGGCCGCACCAGTCCTCAACATACTTTTGCGAAAACAAAATTGGCAATAAAAATGTAACATTTTAAATAAGTAATTAAATGTGCAAGTTTTAATTCATTTAATTTATGTCAGTTTGTCATAAATTACGATATTTTTTCTACATTCTGCAGTATAATAAATTGTAATTAATTATAAATAAATATTATTATCATAAATTTTAAAACTTACTTTGAAAAGTGCATATATTATAGTGCTTTAAAGTAGTGCAAGACAAACAAACTCTGAGAATTAAGATCCTAACGCATAATTGAAAGATTTGTGAAGCCGATTTATAGAATATTATTTCAATTTAATTTTAAATAAGCACTTATTTATTAAGCACTTATTAAGTTATAAAGTTACACGTGTCTTATTGTCCCTGAAAATCGTTATAATGTGTCTTTTCAAAACTTTTCTGACAAGAAAATAGCTAGGATTAAAAAAAATATTAATAATTCCTTCAGCAGCTTCATGTGACAGGGCATGCATTTAACTTCACTAAGATTTTGGATTTAGTCCAATTATTTTTCGATAGTTGGCGCTGCATGTTTCTTTTAACCTTCTCTGATTACGAAACGTGATGACAACTGGTGGCAAAAAAAATCTAACGTGATTTTCTTTCATTAAAAGATTTCAAATTATCGTGCTGATATTTTCGACTACTTTTCGTCAATTCATAGGTTTACTATTTGTAGTGCTATTAGTGGAAAAACTTTTAATTAAACAGAAACTTGGAGAAGAAATATTTAACCACATTAAAGTTTAAAACATTTTCTTTTTAACCATAACCATTTTCTTTTTTAAAAAAATTGAAAATCGTCAGTTTAACTTAAGACATTCTCAAAAATTAAGATATTTAGATTTTATACATTACAAGTTGGTTTTATATAATAGCTTTTAATGAAAAATTATTTTTTTAAAAAAATATTATTTACCATGAAAATAGTTTCAACATGTCCATTTCTTACCTTGATTCTGTGATGGAGTGGCATAATCAGGGTTTCTGTTTTTCTTCAAACAAACGATTAGTATAACAAGTGTAATGACCAACAAAACAACTATGGCACAGACAATTGGTACAAGGACTGACAGATTTCTGTAGAAAGTTGGACCTTCTTCTCTCTCCGCTAATACTGGTGTTATTGTACCTAAAATAATAAATATCGTTGTTAAAATCCTTTCCAATGTTTGAAAACATATGCATCACCAAAATGCTATGATGTAAAAATTTTAATTTCCTATTTACAAAAGTTGGGGATGCTATTTTGCTTATTTTCTGAAATTACCGTTATTAAGAATAAATTTTTTAAGGATGCGTTCAAATACGTTCAGTGATGTATTTTTGCCTCTCTATTTATTTTAATAAAATATTTTAAACTGGGGTTTAAAAACATTTAAAATTTCGAACACAAATTTCTCTGCACCAGAAATTCAAAAACATTCAGAAAAAAAATAAAATACTGGCGCAATTTCCAAAAACATTGAGCACTAAATACACTGTTTTAGACGCTGTGGAGATTAGAAGAGCAGGGTTTGTAGACTTTTGTTTTAAAATTGGTTTATATTGAATATACTAAGTTAGTATATAGTAATATAGTAAACATGAGAAAGAGGAGCATCTAAACGGTAAGAGAAAAAGAAATTTTAGAAAGGCAAAATTGTTTCTTAATTGCATGGTGGCTGACTTACTTTTTTCTTTCGTAAATTATTTCTATTTATAGTTCTATTTACAAATTATTTTTAATGCAACAATTAAATTTTTGAAAAGAAACGAAATGTATGCAATGAAAGAAATAAGCAAAACTTATCTTAAAACAGACAATTCGTAATTCGTTTTCAATTTCATGTTAGCATATACACATATTTTCTAAGTAAAAGCAATTTCCAAAAAAAAAAAAAAAAAAANAAAAAAAAAAAAAAAAAAAAAAAAAAAAAAAAAAAAAAAAACATTAATGGAACATCTGGGACCTGGAGGTGTTGACTAAATAGTTTAAATAGTTGCGTAAATATTGATACAGAAATTTTGCGGGATTATAAATATGGTGATATTTTCTTGAGAAAAAATTATCAGCTTATTTCATTGTGTATATAGAAAAGTAAAAACTTCTATTTTGCTCATTGCATTTAAACTATCGATTATAATAGCGGAAAAACTATGCTAGATTTATAGTTTATAATTTAAATAAAAATTGTAAGAATTATTAGCGTATTTCATTGTGTATAGAGAAAAATAAAATCCTCTATTTTGCTCATTGCATTTAAACTCTCGATTATAATAGAGGAAAAATGGTGCAAAATTTATAGTTTATAATTTAAATAAAAAGTTGTAAGAAGACTACACGGAAATGTAATTCATGTTCACGCAGTTACTATTATTTTATAATCGTAAATAACTACACGGAGAAAAACTCTTATTTAAAATTACCGTAGTGTATATTAATGGCATTTTTGTGAGCAAAAACTATAATTCTGGTTATTGATGACAAACTAAACGGTATTTAAACCATTCACTTTGAAATTTTCTGTTTATATGGTTACGGTTGAACAGAAATTCCAGTTTTCAAATTTATAGTCCTTATTGACATACATGCAGTAAAAAAATACAAAACTGAAAAGTAAATTTTACTGAATAAATGTTTTTTATGCCATGGCCTAATGTATCAAAGAGCAACTACCAAATTTTACCACATTTACCAAATTTTATTATATATTACAAAACCATGTTTCGTCTTTAATATTACCAAAGTCATTACTAAATTACATCGGAAAAATTTACCGTGCTTGTTGATGCTCGCATAGACCAAGAAACTTGCCATATTTTACCATATTCAAATAGTTTTGACTGCACTTTTTTTAGTGCGGAATGAACAAAGAGCTTAAAGTTTTAGACATGAATTATAGAAAATATATGGAATAATTTTTTTTGAAAAATAGTTCTTGCTGTTCGAACACTGATAAAAATTCCTTAAATATCTTAAATATTGCAAAGATGATCTTTTAATAAATTAATAAAATAAATTCCTACGGAATCCACTATATATTTTTGCTAAATACTTTATACATGATTTGTTCCTGTAATAATCCATTACTGTAGCTAGATATTTACTGTTTTCTTTGAATGAAATAAGAAAATATTGTGACTGTTTCAAAAATTTAAATTCAGTATCAAATTTTGAATAGAAATGAGGCACATTCCATTTCTAATTATATCATTAACTTTACTATCATAATTAATACAATTTAAATTAGCTATTATTCAAATCGTTCCTTAACTCATGTTCTTTTCTTCAAAAATAATAATTTAAAAATAATATTTACTATTTCTTTTTAAAATTCATTTAGTCAGTGTCAGAGCTAATTATTTCCTTTAGTATCTCTATTCTTATAAGCTAAATATCAAAAAAAAAATTCACGGGTTCCAGCCTGAGCATAAATTATTTGTCAATTATCACCTCATTCACCCTTGCTCATTTATTGTTACTCAATGTTACATTAAAGTAAAATTGATTATATTTTTAGCTGTAATGAAAAGCAATGTGCATGGATAATGGAGTTAGCTAAATAAATGAGTAATTTAAGCTCTGATATATCAGGAAAGTCGCTTATGAGAAATAGCTATCTAGATATAAATGAAAAGGAACAAGATAAGACGTTTGCTATGTACATAATAAAAAAGCCGTAATTTTCCAGTTCTTAGTTTAGTTAATTTAAAGTAATTAACTCAAAGAAAAAGAGTGTAATAAGAGTTTTTAATTTCTTACTATTAGACTAATGGTAAGAGATTATGTCTATTTCTCAATACATGTGAATTTAACAAATTTATGTGTATTTAAATTAGCTTATATGTCATCGTGAGTGTTAGGAATGGAGTCATGGTCATTTAGTTGATTTGGTAAATATCTGAAAGATTTCTTAAAGATGTGAATTTAACAAATTTATGTATATTTAAATTAGTTTATATGTCATTGTGAGTGTTAGGAATGGAGTCATGGTCATTTAGTTGATTTGGGAAATACCTGAACGGTTTGCTAAAGATGTGAATTTAACAAATTTATGTATATTGAAATCAGTTTATAAGTCATCGTGAGTGTTAGGAATGGAGTCATGGGCATTTAGTTGATTAGGTAAATACCTGACAGACTTGTTAAAGATTATAAAATTTTGTACAAAGCAGCACTGAGAGTATATGGTGAATAAAAAGATGCATATTTTTTTCCAATTTCAACTTTGACAACAGGGCAAGATAAAATGTCTACAATCACTGCTATAAGTAAATAACAATTAGCTTAGACAGATATCTCAGATTGCTACTAACGTGACAGTATGAATATTTACATCCGCGTTTTCTTAACAGCAATATTATTGTTAAATAAAAAAGCTCAAATTTGAACAAGTCTCTTGAGGCCAAACAGTGGGTTAATAAATAATCAGGATAGTAAAACTAAAGCTTACGAAAATATAACCTATATGAAAATGATTTGAAAGCAAAATAAATTTCAATATATTTTTGCATTTTTACTTGCTGCTCGATAGGAATTTCTATGAAATTAAAACTTCAGTTAGATTTTACTAAAAAGAAATATTCACCTAATTAACTTAAAATAAAGAAACAAACTCGATTTGAAGTAAGTAAACCTGTGGAAATAATATAGCTTCTAAAATGATATAAAATTAATTTTTTGTTGTTCAATCCGAGTGGTGGTTTTAACCTTTATCTATTACGGCTTGGGCCAACGTTCAAATACCGATGATAAGCTGGATATCTGTCCAGGCTGCATTTTCACTCCTCGGGGCTTGATGGTCCGAAATTCATTCTATTGCTATGTCAACGGTGGTTTCACAGTCGGAAAAATTTTCTCTCGACCCTAAAGTATTAAGCCCTAAGAATTAATTGCTATGGTAAAAAATAACTGAGCTTGGTTCTACTGAAAGAAAATTTATCAGGTGTAACTACAAGGTAAAAAAGTTTTGATAAAATTGCGATAAAAAGCACAGACATTCAGGGTGCCGGTACTTTTTACCATAAAATCCATTTTTAACGGAACATGTTACGGAAAAAAATCTGGCATGGAACATGCTACGGAACAAATAATAATTACCGTAAAATTACTGAATCACGCTAATTAAAAAAATATTACTGTAAAATTATTGTACAATATTTTACGGTAAAAATGGATTTTACGGTAAGATAGATTTTACGGATAATGGAACCAATATGTCGGTACTTAATACAGTAATTTGATCCTTGATTTTCTTCCAGTGTGCTACAAACCATTTTACGAAAAACGGTTTCATAATCATTAGATGACCCAGTAGGAATTCCTGAAGCTAATACTTAAGTAGCCCGTATTACTTTAGCTATTCGTGCTTGTTCATTGGTATTGTAGAACAGAGTTGGATTATCAACACTGGGAAGTAGTTTAAACGAATTTAATTTATAAGAATAATTTTATTGGTGTATTTTACTGAATGAAAGTTAAATTTGCTAAAACTTTTGTAAATTGAGAAAGAAACATGATTGAAAGTTTCAGACTGCTCACTAAGACATTAATATGAAACAAATATAAATTCCCCTAATAAAATATTAAATTGTGTCATTAATTGTGACGAAAGAGGACATTTTAAGGACTTTCCAGTGATGAAAAGGATTTTGGAGTCACACTTAAAAATTGACTCCATGAGGGAAAATAGGAATCTACTGGCAGCGCCGATGATGTGATGTAGAATTCGGATATCAGCCACCATCTGTCCAATTATTTAATTAGTTTAATTAGTATTGTATTTTTACCATCATTGATTTTTCCATGATTGAAAAAAAATAATTGCAATTTTTTAAATTAAATTCTATATAAAAAATTAACTTTGAAATGGTATGTATATACAAAATAAATTATTGATTTATACCTCCTGTAATTGTTAAAGTGGCAAAGACATATTCCGCTTCTGTAGCACCTGCTTCGTTATGCGCGGACATCAGCAAGTTGTACCATGTAGCAGGTTCAAGTCCTGTCACAACGAACTCCTCGCTCCTCGGGTCAAGGTTACTGGATACTAAAACCCATTCCTTTTGACCCTTAGCCTTGTATTGGACAACGAAAAAAGAAATTGGGCATCCTCCAGGCTTCCACGCATTCAAGTTCAAGATGACAAATGTTGTGTTTATATTAAGGAGTGCAAATTTTTCTGGAGCGATTGGTGCTGCAAAAGGGAAAAATATAGTTTAGAAAGACAAAAATTTAATTGTAACATTTTCGAATGTATAAAATATATTCAAGAAAAAATTATTAAAACCCAATTTTTCAACCAGAGAATTTTTCTTATTAATTTGAGGGGGCTGCGGTTTCGATCCCCGGCCCAGACATTGGATTTTCGGGATGCAGAAAATCCTCAGCGGCCATGTCGTATGATTATGCGGCATGTAAAAGATCCCTGGAGTACCTTATTGGCTCTTGGCATTTCCGGCAAAATTAAATTCCTAGTGCACTTTATTATCCAAATAGAGTCTCGGTGCTGCCATCTAGTGTGGCAGAAACTAGACGACCAAATTAACATGGCCAACGGTATCTCACCCATTGTGGTGGTCCTGAAAGAGTGGATACACTTCTGGAGAACGCACTAGGTCTGCTCGTCGGGAAGACTGATTGTGCAGCTCATAGGAAATAAAATAAAAATTTATTAAAGTGGAGATTCATATGATAATTTTCAAGCTTTGAAGCATGACATATGTCGGTTTTTTCAGTATTGATGGCAAAATTTTGAATTTTTAAATACCTTATCCTCAAAAGATACGTTTTAGCTCCCTGAACAAGATATGTTGTTCATTTGTATTTTCAAACAATCCTGATTAACCAGCACTCCTCGTAATTTTAATCTTTTTTTTTAAGTTTTGAAGTAAAATTTGAAATTCTTTTGACTTTTTAAGTCGTATTACCTATAAAAATTTTTGAAATTAAAAGAAAAATAACATCTTTAAATACTCTACTCTTGTTTCAAAATTATTAGTTCTATTAATGTAATTATTGTTATTATCATTATTATTATTTTTTTTACTTATTGCTAAAAGCTAGATTTTGGGCAGCCACCCCCTGCCCAGCAACCCCGGAACAAATTTTGCAATTTGCAAAGGGAAGGAAATTTTGCAAAAGATTACTTTGCAATACGGATTTACTTCGTTCGCTCCTTTTGTAATTATGTGCAATATTTCAGTCTAGCCTGGTACACTGGTATTATTTTTAAAATTAAATTATAAAAGTGTGCCTCATAAAAAAAACATTGATTGATTAATTTTGACAGTGAGACATTCATTCCATTTCAACACATTACGATTTGATTTACATGCATTTCAATGCTTCCTGTAAATTGCACTTGGAACAAATAGTTCAAAGAATTTCTCTACATAAAAATTACAAATATCAGTGCTTGAAAATACAACAAATTTAAAGCCTTTATTCTAACGTAAACTCGTAAAATTTCTAAAAACTAAATAAAATTGTCGGAAAATAAGAAAGCATAGGTAAAAGTAGCAGGATAGGTAAAAAGTAAATTAGATTGAATAAATAAGCAACGTATTAGTGGCCGACCTCAGTTCAGTATTTCTTTTGCTGTCAGTAAATATCTTGCGTGTGTGCGTGTTAGTGCGCAAGAAGAAAACCGTCAAAGATTGCATTTTTATAGATACAAGATTATTGCGAAAGTGTTTTTATCAATCATATTCACGTGTACGAAAAAAAATTTATTAGGCAAACCAAGTATTTTTTTATTTCTGAAACAAGAAATAATACAAAAATCATGTTCTAAAATTCAACTTAAGCTAAAACGGAAGACAGAAATTTAAAATTGAGCTGGTAACCAAATTAAAGTGCTGGAATAATAGCAACCAAATGAAATATATAATATTCAAGACGAGTAGCTAGATGCAATAATTAACTCTTCAATTCCAAGCGTTCTCCCTCCAAAAACATATTTTTCTATTTCGTTTGCAAGCATAGAATGCTTACTTTCATTTCTTCCGTAACATATACACCAGCCAGAATATATTTTCGATTTCAGAATTGAGAAGTCGAAAATGCAGATATGGAATAAGGTAGCCGATAAATTATGAAAGAATAACGCATTTAAAAACGTTAACGACACTTAAAGTTATCACATTTTTACATTGTTGTTTCTCAGTAGAAGCTACAAATCTCAAATTTAGGATAGATTAGGAAACCTTTCAGGATAGGCAATACCGGGCAAAGTGCAAGGAAACTTTATCTTGCGAAAACTACATTACAGGGAGTATCGGAAAATGACACTCAAATCCTCGCAGAATAAGTATTCTGGTTAACCTTAATTATTTATATAGGCTTAACCTTAATTAACTTTAATTATTTATAAAGACTCACCTTAATTATTTATATAGGCTGAATATTAATAAGAACCACGTGGTTTGTAAATGTGATAAAAATGCACGTTAATCACATTGACAAATACTTTACCTGCATTTTGTACTCCGTTTAATCAATTCTAAGTGTGTTCCCCCGTTAATTAAGAGTGATAAGTACGGAATACTTATCACTCTTAAAATTTTGATGCTATTCCTCCAATTCCGTTATGACAAAAACTTTTCATTGATCCATCCTAAATTTATAATCATATTACATTTTTTTGACCTNTGTTTTGTAGTGCTCTCAAATTTAAGAATGAAACAGCTGGAATTTGCTGTTCTGGAGGCAAAGTGTAACTACCAGATTTAACGTCGCCAGCCGAGCCATTATCAACGTTGTTATCGGGTCAAGCAAATCAATAGAAACTTTTCTTGGCGAATATAGGTCAGTACATTCGTGTTTCCAAATGACTTCATTCGGTGCTGCTACAAGTATCGGTGCGCATATGGACAGCTAGAGTTATTTATTACATTCACATGCAATCCTGCTTGAGCTAAAATTAAAGAGCTTTAGTAACTTAGGCAAACATCATCGGATCTTCATGATGCATTATCACACGTGAGTTAAAACAAATATTAAGGGTTTTCATGCGAAAAGTCATGTTTTTAGAGAGACACGGTGTTTGATGCATTCTATTGAACGGCAGAAAAAGAGAATTGCCACATGATTTGGCTTATTGAAAAACTCACACCAGGACAAATTGGTCAGCTCATATCAGCAGAAATATTCAAGACGCCATTGATCCAGAATTATTTCAGATCATTATCCAAAATATGTTTCATGGTTGGTGTGCATCACCATACATGTCTGTTTGAAAATGCACTAACGATATCCTAGAGAATTAACTGTTGAGACTATCACTGGTTTTTTCACCATGAAATAAAATTCTCTATTCAAATCATAATCACAAATCTCATTTACACACTTAAATACAAAATTTAAATTCAAACTGAAAGCTTTGCAACGCACGCAGGGTACAGCTAGTATATATATATATTAAGAAATATCATGTTTTATCAAGCCTAAATGACAGTTTACATTCAACAAAGCTCGACTGCTATGATTTTTTAACCCTAAGAATAATATTAATCTCCTGGGCCAATTTATTTACTAATTTTGATAAGCTTTTATCAAAAGAACAACTCTTAATTACCCTAACGTAATTACGAAACATTTTTTTCAAAAATTGTTTGCTCTTGTTTAATTGAAAAATGGATAATTAGGGAAGATAGAAAGGCTCTTTGCGGTAATGCTTTTTTCTCCTTTTAATTTCAAAATTCACTTTTTTTTCAATTATTCGAGAACAATTTTTCTGATCAAATCCAAAACTAAAAAAAAAGAAAAAAGAAAAAAAAATTTACTTAAAGTTAATTAAATAGTTTATTGACGAGGCTTCATATTCTTTTAATTATTGTCCTTAATATAATGATGTTTCCACTTAAAATACTTCACACAGAAAAAATATTTGCAATATTCAAAAAATTTTTTTTAACTGTGTTCATTTTTGCGACTGGTATACAAGATACATTAGGAAATAAATTTACCAGACAAAATTTAAATAAACTTACCATTTAAAAGCCATTATGCATTTTTAGCTATGTTTCATTTATTTATAATTTATTTATTTTTTTTGTTGCTTCCATATAAACAATTATTACATTTATTAATTTTACTTTCATATAATAAGTAATAAACTATATTTTAGATTTGTTACATTTTACCTTGTGAATTAACAGAAACTTTAGCTTAAGTCATATTCTCAAACTTTTTCCGAGTTGCGGCAATTTTATTTACTTATTGTATATGTTTCACATGCGTAAAATTTTGTAATAAAACTGTGGAAGCAAGTGGTGGAAATACATATAACACTGTTAATACAACTCATACTTAAAAACCTCCTAAATAATTTAATTTCATTAAAGAGGAGTTATTAAAGAGGAGTAAATATAAATAATATAAGAAAAGATATTGTAGTTGGTAAACAAGATGCATTAGGAAATAAATTTACCAGTTATACGTTAACTTACCATTTCAAGGCCATTAGCTATTTTCAGCTATGTTTCATGCATTTATAATTATTACAATTATTTTGCTTTCATCACTGTAATTATTACATATATTAATTTTACTTTAATATAAGAAGTTTAATATAATAACTATGTTTTACATTTTTTCCCCGTGAATAAGCCTAAACTTTAGTTTAAATCAAACTTTTTCTAAGTTTTCAGCATTTTTATCCACATATTGTATACGTTCATATGATTACGGAGCAAAAGCTATCGAAGTGAATGGTGAGAATGTAACTTTATGGTGAAAATATATTTATAAAGTTAATACAATTAATTAACTTTATAAATATATTTTCAATTAATTAATATTAGACTTTATTAACTGTTTAATATTAGGTGGTGGACCTTGGAGGTTTAATATTAGACTTGAACATCTTGAGGAACATCAAGAGAGGATTCCGTAGTTGATTTGTTTTAAAACTCCTAATTTCCAACAGGAAATCAAGCTAGTTTTGATGTTTTTTTTGTAGTAAATTATTAGATTTAGATAGCAATTTTGATTTTTCTTCGTTTAAATAATAATTTTCAACCCTTAGCTATAGAATTTTTTATTTAAATTTTTACAACTATTTTAAATGTGTATATTTAAAACAGTCGTTACGGATTATAAAGAATAACACTTATGAAACTTTTCAAAGTTAAGCAACAGTCATTTTATCATATCTTTCATCATATTTAAGGCTTAAAGTTTGCAAAAGAGTCT